CCAAATGGCCAATGGCAGAAAAAGTCAAAATCTGTTTTAGATACATAATCTGTAATATTATTTAACAAGATATGATGTCTAAATTTTAACACAGAGTGTGTTGAGATACACATAAAACTAGTTTGAGAATGAGCTGATATTTGTTGAAATTGGTGATGACTATGAGGAAACATTTTACTATTTTACTTTGGCTCTGAAATTTTCCATAATAAGAATCCAAAACTAGCTAGGTGCTGGTGGCTCATGCCTGTAACCCTAGCTACTCAAGAGGCTGAGATCTGAGGATCATGGTTCAAAGCCAGTCTGGGTAGGAAAGACTGTGAGATTCTAATCTCCAATAAACCACCAGAAAAACAAAAAACTGGAAGTGGCGCTGTGGCTCAAGTAGTAGAGCACTAGCCTTGAGCTAAAGAGCTGAGGGACAGCACGCAGGCCCAGAGTTCAAGCCCCTTGACTGACCAAAAAAAAAAAAACTATGGACAAAAAATCAACTTTCCCATCCTTGCTGACACTGACCAATGGGACAATATGAACATTACAAGGACAATGATTACAACAGATCAAAATATATCTAAAACACTGTATGTGCTTTTTCCTATATGTACATACCATAAAGGTCAATTTCAAAATTGGGCTCAGTAAAAGATTAACAATTAATAACATAGAACAATTGTAATGCACAGTATTAAAAGTTATGTGGGCTGGGAAGGTGGCTCAGTGATAGAGTGCTTGCCTTGCAGGTATGAGGCCCTGGGTTCAATTCCTCAGCACCACATAAGCAAAAAAAGCTGGATGTGGCACTGTGGCTCAAGTGGTAGAGTGCTAGCTTTGAGCTGAAGAATTGAGGGATAGCGCCCAGGCCCAGAGTTCAGGCCCCATACAAAAGAAAGAAAGAGAGACAGAGAGAGAAAGAAAGAAAGAGAGAGAGACAGAGAGAAAGAAAGAAAGAAAGAAAGAAAGAAAGAAAGAAAGAAAGAAAGAAAGAAAGAAAGAAAGAAAGAAAGAAAGGAAGGAAGGAAGGAAGGAAGGAAGGAAGGAAGGAAGAAAGGAAGAAAGAGTTGTTGAAAGTTGTTGAAATTGGTGATGACTATGAGGAAACATTTTACTATTTTACTTTGGCTCTGAAATTTTCCATAATAAGAATCCAAAACTAGCTAGGTGCTGGTGGCTCATGCCTGTAACCCTAGCTACTCAAGAGGCTGAGATCTGAGGATCATGGTTCAAAGCCAGTCTGGGTAGGAAAGACTGTGAGATTCTAATCTCCAATAAACCACCAGAAAAACAAAAAACTGGAAGTGGGGAGAGGGAGAGGGAGGGAGGGAAGAAAGAAAGAGAAAGAGAAAAGAAAAGAAAGAAAGGTTATATAAGCTGGGTGCCAGTAGCTCATATCTATAATACTAGTTACTCAGTCAGAGGAGGCTGAGATCTGAGGATCATGGATCAAAGCCAATCCAGGCATGTAAGTCTGCAAGGCTCTTCTCTCCAATCAATCACCAAAAACTAAAAGTGCAGCTGTAGCTCAGGTGGTAGAACATTAGCTTTGAGCAAAAAAGCTCAGGGAGAGTACCCAAGCCTTGAATTCAAGACCCAGGACTGGCACATACACAAGTTAAGTGAATGCCATCTCTAAAAATGTTTATGACATAGGTATGTAGACACTGTGACATGGCATTAGACTACTACAGTAGTTGAGGAAAGGGTGAAGGAGGGTGAATATGTTCAAAATATTTCACGTTTACATGTAATAATGAAACAATGTACCTTGTAACTGGAATGAGGTGGAAAAAGGGCAAGTGACAGGAGGTGAGTCTAATCAAGGTCCATTTTATGCATATATGGAAATGTCAAAATGAAACTCTCAACACAAAAATAGATTAATGTCTAGTTAGTATTCAAATTTATAAATTTGAATTTTATAAATCATTTTTTCACAAGTTGTCCAAAGCTAGCTCAAATTGGATGTGATTGTCTAATACTTCTTTTCCAAATCACTCTAAGTTCCCTCTCACTTCTCTACAATGGATTATAGTGATCTACACACACCTCAATAGGTTGACTGGTCTTTTGCGTCTATAGCAGCTCCAAGTTCCTCTTTATTTTTTCTTATTTATGGAAGAAGTCAGGTATTTTATCCATTTTTTTTCTTCTTTTTTTTTTCATTGCTAAGAAATGAACCCAGGGCTTCACATGTGCCCTACCACTGGGCTAAATCTTATAGTTTCCCATATGTACTCTAAGCTACTAGGAAAATGATTCTTGAGGAAGAGGGAGAGGTAGAATGAGGAAAGGCAGAGGGAGGAGAGAAAGAGGCAGAAGCAGAGGGCAGAGGGCAGAGGGCAGAAGCCAGGGGGAGAGGGAGAGAGGAGAGGAGAGGGAGAGGGAGGGAGGGGAGGGGGGAGGGAAGGAGGGAGAGGGAGAGAGAGAAGAAAGAATGGATGTATAGAGGGAGAGGAGAGGCAGAGGGAGGAAGGAGGAAGAATGAGGGAAGAGGGGAGAAACAGGGGGAAGGGGGAAGAGGGAAGAGGGAAGAGGGAAGAGGGAAGAGGGAAGAGGGAAGAGGGAAGAGGGAAGAGGAAAGGGAGAGAGGAAAGGGTAGAGGGAGGGAGGGGAGGGGGGAGGGAAGGAGGGAGAGGGAGAGAGAGAAGAATGGATGTATAGAGGGAGAGGAGAGGCAGAGGGAGGAAGGAGGAAGAATGAGGGAAGAGGGGAGAAACAGGGGGAAGGGGGAAGAGGGAAGAGGGAAGAGGGAAGAGGGAAGAGGAAAGGGAGAGAGGAAAGGGTAGAGGGAGACAGACCTTGTCACAAATCTGTAAGTAAAATGTTTCCCATAGTCTGGACTTGGCCAACTATGCTCCTGTGCTTTTGTAGTTCACAGGTTTCTTAGGCAGAAATCAACTCTCTGTACCCAGAGGTTCAATCAAGCATAGATGGAATTTTTGGGGGAGTCGGCCCTGGGGCTTGAACTCTGGCCTGGGAGCTGTCCCTCAGCTCTTCAGCTCAAAGCAAGCGCTCTAGCACTTGAGCCACAACGCCACTTCCAGCCTAATGTGGTGCTGAGGAATCAAACCCAGGGCCTAATGCATGCAAGGCAAGCACTCTACCACTGAGCCACCTTCCCTGCCCACATGGAAAATATTTTAAACAAGCTGTCTGTGCCAGGTATTGGAGGCTCTCACCTGTAAGTCTACCTATTCAAGAGGCTGAGATCTAAGGATCAAGGTTTGAAACCAGCCCAGGTAGGAATGGCTCTGAGACTCTTATCCCCAATTAACCAACAAAAAGCTGGAAATGGATCTATGGTTCAAGTGGTAGGGCATCAGCCTTGAGCAAAAACACTAAGGGATAGCACACAGGCCAAGTTCAAGACCCCACTAACAGCATATAAACAAAAGTTGTCTGTATGGAACACATATACATTTTCCTTGTCATTATTCCGGATAACAACTATTTATGTTGCATTAATTATTATAAGTAATCTATATATGATGTAAAGTATAGAGAGGATGTGTGCAAATTATACCCAAATTGTATGTCACATTATATGAAGGACTTCAGCATTCGTTGATTTTGATATCTTTGATGAGGGGATCCCGGAACCAATTTGAGTAAGAGTGAGGAAGCACATTTATCTACTTTACCATATCAAATATCTACTAATATGGAGCTGGGGGTGTAGCTCAAGAGGTAGAGATCCTGCCTAGCAAGTTCAAACCCATATATAGCACAATACTATGATGCGAAAGTTCATAAATACACAGTACCATCCATGATACATTCTCTCATACACAAAATAAAAAATCTGAATCAAATCATGTGTTATATTTGCTTACACATTTAGAGGAATATAGAGGATGAAAAACACTCAGTAACATCATAGGGATAATCGATAGAATGCAAAAAATTCCATAGGACAAATGACCTAGATTTTTCCAGAAATAGGAAGGAAAAAAATAAAAAATAGGAAAATGTAACAGACTAAGAGACCAATTTTAACATATGAACCTCACTTGAATCTTGATTTCAACACACAAACTACAAAAAAGGGAGGATAGGTTTTAAGAAAATCTAAACAATGAATACTAGATGTTATAGAATAAAATTTTTAGGTATGACGTTGGTTAATGTGTTCTTTAGTGTCCTCATATTCTAGATACATGCTGAGGTAATTATGGATGCAACAGTGTCTGGAAATTGTTTTAAAATAGTCCAATGGTGGTGGCAAGGGATGGGGAGGTATAAAAAAATTAAACTGACCATATGTTGCTAACTACTGAGTGAGGAATGCCTGGCATTCTTTATATCATTCTTCTTATTTCAATATATGTTTGAAAGTTAACATAAATTTTTTTAAAAGATCAACCCCTCCCCTGGATATAACAATAAGGTATAGATTGGAAAGCATCAGAAACTACTTTGGAGGCTCTTGTATAAGTCTATGTGAGTTAAAAAGTGGCCTTCACTGGACATGGTACAACAGAAAAAATGAGATCACCTATCAACAAATATTTAGAAGGTAGAACCAACCAATAAGGTGGAAATTAATTGGATATGTAAAGTGAGAAAGGGAGGAATCAAGTATGAGGCTCAGATTTCTGGTTGAGCATGTAGGCAGCACTGAGAACAGGCAGATAGGGGAAAGGGGGTTGGGGTTTGAAGTAACCTGCGGGACAGAGCATAGAGACAAGGACCTGAAGAGAGGGGAATGAAAGATGCTCAGGATGAAAGAATGCCAAGTAAGGAAGAGACTACCCGAGACAGAGCCCTGAGGAGCACTAAGGTCTATCTAATCACTGTACAGGAAGGAGCCTTTACTTTGTATATCTAGACATAAACACATGCAAGGGAAGGACAGAACCAACTCAGGTATAAGCAGAGAGATTGACACACAACTCACTCCTTTCCAGCCAGTCTTCATAGGCCCCCAGATAGATAGGCTGACCCTTTTCTCAGGGCACCTGGAAAGATATAGAAGCCTCGGGGGCTCCGTGGTTGATCCTTACCTTGAGATCCTCACACAGGTCGCCATAGTCAATTTCAATGAGGGCCTCTCGTGCATAGATATTGGAAGTTCTCTGGGAGCCACTTACTGAATCCTCTCCCTGGGAGCCACCCTGCAATGGAAAGAGGGAGTCAAACCAAGCAGATTAGTGTCCCTTGAGGAGGAGAGCAGAAACTACCTATAGGCTTTAATGTCTTTGAGGAAGCACCTCTGTAGAATGCACTGAGACAAAAAGGAACAGAGCCTTTGCATGCAGAAAGCAGACTCTACCTCTTAATAACAAGATGATCCTGAGCAAGTCTTATGCTCAGATCCTCAGTTTCTTCATCTGGAACAAAGGGACAAGGCCCACTTGACAGGGCTACAATTATGAGTAGAATTGTGGCTCAGGTGGTAGTGTGCCAGCCTGGAGTGAAAACCAAGGGAGAGTACACAGGCAGGCCTTGACCTCTAGCGTGAGTACTGGCACCCAAAAAAATAATTGGGGGTGGGGGGGAGCTGGGAAGGTGGCTCAGTAGTAGAGTGCTTGCCTTGCACGCCTGAGGCCCTGGGTTCGATTCCTCAGCACCACATAAGCAAAAAGAAAAAAGCCGGAAGTGGTGCTGTGGCTCAAGTGGTAGAGCACTAGCCTTGAGCTGAAGAGCTGAGGGACAGCGCCCAGGCCCAGAGTTCAGGCCCCATGACCAGACACCCCCCCCCAAAAAAAAAGAATTAGGGGTGATTAGATCATGATCTACCATGCTACCTGAAACATTCCTACTGTTCAAAGTATTTTACTAAATTGTAGAGGGAAGGGTAGAGGAAATGGAAGAGGGGGGAGGGGGTTGAAAGGGATTGAGGTACATTACCTAGATGTATACAAATAGCATAAAGAAATGCACCAGGGATGGGCTGGGAAGGTGACTCAGTGGTAGAGCGCTTGCCTTGCACGCATGAGGCCCTGGGTTCGATTCCTTAGTACCACATAAGCAAAAAGAAAAAAACCGGAAGTGGTGCTGTGGCTCAAGTGGTAGAGCGCCAGCCTTGAGCTGAAGAGCTGAGGGACAGTGCTCAGGCCCAGAGTTCAGGCCCCACGACCGGACCAAAAAAAAAAAGAAAGAAAAAAGAAATGCGCCAGAGGCTGGGAAGGTGGCTCAGTGGTAGAATGCTTGCCTTGCATGCATGAGGGCCTGGGTTCAATTCCTCAGCACCACATAAGCAGAAAAAGCCAGAAGTGGCACTGTGGCTCAAGTGGTAGTGTTAGCCTAGAGTTGAAGAGCTCAGGGACAGCACCCAGGCCCAGAGTTCAGGCCCCACAACCAACAAAAAAAAAAAAGAAAAGAAAAAGAAATGCACCAAAGATGGTTTATACAAGAAGGTTAAGGGAATGAAAGGGGGTGATTTTGCTCAAAATATATTGTGTGCATATACTGAATTTTCACATGAAATCTCTTTGCACTATCAATGAATCCTATATAAACTTGGGAAGAGCAAGACAAGTGGAATTGAGATACAAAACCAGGTTGAAGGCAAGATATACACAAACTTCCTGTCAATTATCATTCCCTACCCCCTCACTTCCAATAGGTAAAATGACTTGTCTCCTCTATTGACTAATGTTCTTGCTTTTCCTGTGTCCAAGCTTCTTTACTTCTTATGGTGCTGATGGCCCTTCCAATCCTCCTCAGACCAACCTTCTGCACTGTAGTGAGCTATGATCCTTCAGGCCCTCCAGCTTCCTGCCTTCCTTTTCTCTTGGCTAATGTCCCTCAATTCCCACTCCTACCTATATGCATTAGTGCAGCTAACATAGCTCAAGCCCTTAAAATAAATGAATTACTTCCTTAACTCCTGGATGCAATGTCTAAGGCTATCACTCTTCCCTATCTCCACCTTACCTCATCTCTCTCATGTCCCACACCACCCTTTGCCCATTATTCTCTATTACCTGCCCTTCCTGACCACTGTATCCCTCGTCATTGGGTAACACTGGTCACAGCCCATTTCCACCACCAGCCACAATACTCGCCTCTTCTTGACTGATATCATCCATGGTGCCCTTTGACAGTGGCAACTTGATGTCTTGCATCTTGCAGGCCTGTAGCAAGTTGTGGCGGTCACTGCGCTTCTGTTCCAGCTTAGTCTCAATGGCTGTCACCTCCTTCTGTAAATGGGTCATTTCCCTAAAAATGTCCAGAGCTAGGTAAGACTCAAACTGGTAGGCTGCTTGCTTGACCTCCTTCCTCCCGCACAGGCCCAAATATACTCACTTATTGGCACCACCCAGTTTCTTACGAATCTCCTCCATTTCATGGTTCTTGTCATTCACTTCAGACTTCTTGGCCAGGTGCTGATTCTTCAGATCTTGTAGCTGGGCCATGGTCTCATCTATGATCTTCATATGTCTTTGTTCTTCCTGGTCCCAGTAGGAGGAATAGGACAAGAGGTGAGGGCTTTTCCAATTCATCTTGGGATCTTGTCTCACCCTTCCCACTAGGCAGTTGTTTGGAGCCACTCTGAGTTCTGCTTTCATATACTTCTCATTACCTTCAGGCTTCTTTTCTCTTTTTCTACATTTTTTGGTTTTCCCATTCACACATACACATACCCAAATACATATATTGCCTGCTATAGAAAAATTCAAACTATAGAAAAAGAATGAAGGATGGAAGTGTTACTTGTAATCCCACCAGCCAGCCAATCAATTAACACTCTAGCATCATTTACACATAGCTTTACTAGACTGCAACTATATTGTCACTTAAGGATGTTATCTGAGCATTTCTTTCTAAATTAAAGCTCTATTGTGTGTAATATTTGCGTTTTCAAAAACCCATACAAATAGCACTATGTATTCTCTGTGAGGATACATATACTATACAAATAAAAATACTCACTGACCCAAGACCAACACTAGAAAGAACAATATGACTAAGTAGCCAGGCAAAGGAAAATTACAGCCTTACTTATAATCTTCTGATTTTTTTTTTTTTTTTACAAAGGTTCAATTTTCATTTTGATCTTAAAAAACACACAACATGCAAAAAGGGGACATATCTGCAACTTCCTCTCAAATGGCTCATAAAAATAATAAGCATAGGGCTGGGAAGGTGGCTCAGTGGTAGAGCCCTTGCCTTGCATACCTGAGGCCCTGGGTTCGATTCCTCAGCACCACATAAGCAAAAAAGAAAAAAAAGCCGGAAGTGGCGCTGTGGCTCAAGTGGTAGAGCGCTAGCCTTGAGCTAAAGAGCTGAGGGACAGCGCCCAGGCCCAGAGTTCAGGCCCCACGACCGGACCCAAAAATAATAATAATAATAAGCATATACAAAGAATGAAAAAGCAAATATGACAACATTATGATGAAAGATGAATCTTGGTGATGGGTAGATAGTTCTTTGACAGTTGGCCTTCTGTATCTACAAGTTCTGTATCCATGGATTCAAATAACTTGAGGGTAAAATATATTTGAGGAGTCGGGCGCCAGTGGCCCACGCCTGTAATCCTAGCTACTCAAAAGGCTGAGATCTGAAGATCAAGGTTCAAAGCCAGTCCAGGCAGGAAAGTCCATGAGACCCTTATCTCCAATAAACCATTAGAAAACTGGAAGTGGCGCTGTGGCTCAAGCGGTAGAGTGCTCGCCTTGAGCTGAAGAGCTGAGGGACAGCGCCCAAGCCCACAGTTAAGCCCCGCGACCGACAAAAAATAATAATAAATAAATATTTGAGGGGCTGGGAAGGTAGCTCAGTGATAGAGTGCTTCCCTTGCATGCATGAGGCCCTGGGTTCGATTCCTCAGCACCACATAAGCAGAAAAAGCCAGAAATGGTGCTATGGCTCAAGTGGTAGAGTGTTAGCCTTGAGCTAAAGAGCTGAGGGACAGCACTCAGGCCTAGAGTTCAGGCCCCACGAATGACAAAAGCAAAAAGAAAAAGAAAAAGAAAATTGTGCCTGTACTGAATGTACAAACTTTTCTAGTCATTATTTCTTACCTAATAAAGTATAACAACTATTTACAAACTAGTTACACTGCATCAGACATTCTATTCACATACTAGTTACACTGCATCAGACGTTATAGTATAGAGATGATTTAAAGTATAAAGGAAGACGTGTATAAGTTATATACAAATAATACACCAACTCATACAAAGGATTTGAGCATCCTTGGATTTTGATGTCCTTGAAGGGGAAGGGGATTTTGTAGAACCTAGAATCTCCTGTGGGTATGAAGAATGATTGTACTATTCTTGCAACTTTCTCCTAAGCTGAAAAATATTTCAAAATAAAAAGTCAAAAAGTCACATAAAAACTATCCTAGATTTATATCCTAGTGTAAATCTAGTCCCACCCCCAGGATTTTACTGCCCTATCTCCTGTGTTTAAGACTGCCAAGACACTAAAGGAGATTACTTTATCATTATGAGTTAATGAAGAAAATACACAAGCAATCAACAGATATAAGCCAATATAAAAAATCAAATAATATGTTTAAACCAAAGAGAAGACTAAATCACCTCAGAAGAGAATGCTGGAGGCTGGAGGTGTGGTTCAAGTGGTAGAGGGTCTGCTTAGAAGGCTTGAGGCCCTAATTTCAAACCCCACTACCACAAAAAAGGAACAAAGGTTTCATGGTAATTTCAAAAGGATATAAATAAATACAATGAGTGACTGGTACAGGCATGCTAAACTTAAAGGAACTAAGCTATAGCATTCACTAACAGTCAGATGGAAAAGTTGCTTTATTTCAAGCAAAACATCATCTGTGGGCTGAGAAGTTGGCTCAGTGGTAGAGTACTTACCTTGCATGCATGAGGCCCTGGGTTCAATTCCTCAGCACTACATAAGCAGACAAAGCCAGAAGTGGTGCTGTGGCTCAAGTGATAGACCACTAGCCTTGAGCTGAAGAGCTGAGGGACAGGGCCCAGGCCCAGAGTTCAGGCCCCATGACCAACAAAAAAATTTTTTTTTATAGTTGCTTTTTTCAGAAATGTGAATTTTATTTTACATTGCTCCTAATTTATTTGGAAGTTTGTGTGGATTTTTTGGCTGTTTTAAGTATATGTTTATATATATATCTAAAGTAACATTAAAAATTTGGGCCAAGGGCTGGGAAGGTGGCTCAGTGGTAGAGCGCTTGCCTTGCATGCATGAGGCCCTAGGTTCGATTACTCAGCACCACATAAGCAAAAAAGAAAAAAAAAAGCCAGAAGTGGCGCTGTGGCTCAAGTGGTAGAGCACTAGCCTTGAGCTGAAGAGCTGAGGGACAGCGCCCAGGCCCAGAGTTCAGCCCCCATGACAGGACCCAAAAAAAATTTGGGCCAAGCCGGGCACTAGTGACTCATGCCTGTAATCCTACCTACTCAGGAGGCTGAGATCTGAGGATCACAGTTCAAAGCCAGCCCAAGCAGGAGAGGCGGTGAGATTCTTATGTCCAATTAGCCACCAGAAAACCAGAAATGGAGCTGTAGTTCAAAGTAGTGGAGCACTAACCTTGAGCAAAAGAGCTCAGTGACAGCGCCCAGGCCCCAAGTTCAAGCCCCACAAAGGATAAAAAACAAAACAAACTTAAGCTAATACTGGAAATTCTAAAAATAGCTCTACTTTAAATGAGCTCTATGATGGAGGGAATGTGATCCTACACAACTATAATCCAGCATTTGAAAGGTAGAGGCAAAAATAACAAGTTCCAGGCCAATCTGTGGTACGTATCAAGACCCTGTCTCAACCAACCAAAATGAAAAAAGGAAGAGGAAAACAAAGAATTGGTCTGTGTTCTATAAAAAACCATTAAACCATACAAATACTTACATGAATATAGCAATGGCTTGTTAAATTCCTACATCCCAAGGGCCACTGATAGTTTCTAATTTGAAGCCATAAATAATGCTTGTAATAAACTTCAGCCTGTTTGCACAAAGCTTTTGCCAATATTCTGTATTATCTCAAGAATTACTGAGCTAAGAGAGTATTCTGAAACCTCTTGATTGATGGTACTACACTGCGTAATACTGGTCTCCTGTATGATGCTTACTATTGAACATTGTTTTTTCTTTTTTTTTTTTTGTCGGTCGTGGGGCTTGAACTCTGCACCTGGGGACAGTCTCTCAGTTCTTCAGCTCAAGGTAAGCACTCTAACTCTCAGCCACAGAGCCACTTCCAGTTTTCTGGTGGTTAATTGGAGATAAGAGTCCCACAGACTTGCGTGTCAGGGCTGGCTTTGAACTGCAATCCTCAGATCTCAGTCTCCTGAATAGCTAGGATTACAGATGTGAGCCACAGGCCCTTTTTTTGTTTTTAAACCTTGGGTAATATGATAAGAAACAAATTATGCTCAACTGTTGCTTCAATGTATATTTCTTTCATTTGCAGAATGGCTAAATTATTTGTATGGGTTTATGGGCTATCTGAATCTCTTAAACTTTTGTGCCACACTTACCTACTTCCTATTTAGGTCTTGATGGGTTTTTTTTTAAAGTTTGACATACATGAGATTTATAAATTATGAATATTATCCTTCTACCATTTTCCCCTCCCAATATTTTGTCTGTCTTTTTAAATTTTCTCCTTTCTTACCTTCTTGAGCTTTTCTATCTCATTTTCATCCTTCTTCACTGTCTGTTCCCACATGTGTACTTTATCCTGGTCCTCCTTCAATTGGTTCTTTTCAAAATCCAACTGGATGCCCAAGCGAGTCTTCTGATTTTCAAACTCCAAACTGTAGAAAGAAAGGGCAACTAAGCCCATAGCTCAAGGTCTCCAAGTTACTCCTGAATTTCAGTCACCCATATACACATAAAATTGTGCCCAGAAGTTAGAAAACAAAGTTCCTTAACCTAGCCTTATGGACCTGGCACAAGACAGGTGATACCACACTCCATTTATTTCCTTTAAACACTGAATAGTCTAGGTACCTTTCCAATTTTCTAAAAAGAGGCATAAAAAGGTCCACCTGAGTTGGCCAGCTATGTTTAATTCCTATTTGTTAAGCTTCTATATACATATAACATCTCCTAATCATCTAACCACAGCCCCCAAAAGTCATTATTATCCATATTTTACAAAGTAAACTTATGGTTAAGAGGTAAAGACTCTCCACAAGGTTATACAGCTAATAAATGGCAGATATTAATATTAAAACCAGTTAGGTGCTGGTGGCTCAGGTCTATAATACTACTCAGGACGCTGAGAGCTGAGAATCATGGTTCAAAGCCAGCCCAGCTGGGAAAATCCATGAGACTCTTATCTCCAATTAACCACCAGGAAACTAGAAGTAGAGCTGGGGCTCAAAGTGGTAGAATACTAGCCTTGAGGGGGAAAAAAAGCTAATACTTAGGCTCTGAGATTAAGTCATATGATTGACAGAAAGAAAAAAAAGATTAAAACCAAAGTCTAGCATCAAAACCTAGGCTCTTTCTAGTATATTACCATTACAATTAATGCAATGAGCTAAGAACAAAAATATTTCAACTCTGCCATCAAATAGTAGTGTGATCTCAAGCAAATTAGTTATATTTTGCATTCCTCAGATTGCTCTTCTGTGGAAATGGTAGTAGTATTTACCTGTGAGTCCTTAGAAGAAGTAGAAGTGCAGTTCAAGTGATATATAGCCAGCCTTGAGTAAAAAACCTAAGCAAGAGCTCAGTACCAGCACGAAAAAAAAAAAAAAGTTCTTTTTTTTTTTTTTGGGGGGGGGATCTGGTCGTGGGGCCTGAACTCTGGGCCTGGGTACTGTCCCTCAGCTCTTCAGCCCAAGGCTAGCACTCTACCACTTGAGCCACAGCGCCACTTCCGGCTTTTTTCTTATGTGGTGCTAAGGAATTGAACCCAGGGCCTCGAGCATGCAAGGCAAGTGCTCTACCACTGAGCCACCTTCCCAGACCAAAAGTTCCTTTTCTTAGCTGGTGGCTCACACCTGAAATCCTAGCTATGTAAGAGCCTAAGATCTGAGATTCACAGTTTGAAGCTTGGGCAGGAAAGCCTAAGAGATTCTTATATCCAATTAACCAGCATAAAAATGCCAGAAGTGGAGGTATGGTTGAAGTGGAAGAATACTAGCCTTGACTAACTAATGAAGAATACAAGGCACTGAGTTCAAGCTCCAGTCATTAGAACCACGCATGGCATATAACTACTCAGAACAATTTAGGTATCATCATCATTAGCAGATACACTAGCTATGTTCAGTTCATTTTCCCCATGGACTTTGATTTTTTCCAGTATCCCAACCTCTGCACCAAGAGTTTAGGGCCTCTTAAGGGGCAGAGCTTAGGTAGCACCGAACATAAATACTGGATTCTGGGCTGGGAAGGTGGCTCAGTGGTAGAGTGCTTGCCTTGCATGCATGAGACCCTGGGTTCGATTCCTCAGCACCACATAAGCAAAAAGAAAAAAACTGGAAGTGGCACTGTGGCTCAAATGGTAGAGCGCTAGCCTTGAGCTGAAGAGCTGAGGGACAGCGCCCAGGCCCAGAGTTCAGGCCCCACGACTGGCAAAAAAAAAAAAAAGGAAAGAAAGAAAGAAAAAAGAAAATAGTGGATTCCTATTACTGCCCTCCCGTCCTATCCTCTTAAAAATTTCAGAAGATATAATCAGCATGCAGACTGGGTAAGACTAACGCTAAACTGCCCTTCTAATGTCCAATATGGTGTGACAGATGCTGACTGATAACCTGCTAGTAGCTAAAACCTATTAGTCACTATAATCCAAGTGGAATGTAATTAACTCTACAATTTTGAGCTATACAATTTTAAGACCAATCTCCTATGATTCATAAAGCCCTCTGTGATCTGGCCCCTGCTCACCTCTTCACTACCTCCACCTTTCTTCTAACCCTGTTTTTATGCTCCAGACATTCAAAACTACTTAGTTTCCAAACAAGGGATGTTTCCTCACACTTTCAAGCATGCTGTTTTCACTGCCTGAAACTGTCTTCTGCTTTTGCCTGGTTGGCTAAATGCTATCCACTATTCAGGTCTCTAGTTCATCATTCCTTGTTTTGTAAATCCTTTGCTGACACTTCATTGTAGGTTCTTAAAAGTTTCTATTACAGGGGCTGGGAAGGTGGCTTAGTAGTAGAGTGCTTGCTTTGCATGCAGGAGGCCCTAGGTTCGATTCCTCAGCACCACATAAGCAGAAAAAGCTGGAAGTGGCACTGTGGCTTAAGTGGTAGAATGCTAGCCTTGCGCTGAAGAGCTCAGGGATAGCACCCAGGCCCAGAGTTCAGGCCCCATGACTGGCAAAAAAAAAAGTTTCTATTACGCCAGGCACCAGTGGCTCATGCCTGTAATTCTAGCTATTCAGGAGGCTGAGATCTGAGAATTTCAGTTCAAAGCCAGCCTGGGCAGGAAAGTCCAAGAGAATCCTATCTTCAATAAACCACCAGAAAACCGGAAGTGGCCTTGTGGCTCAAGTGGTAGAGCGCTAGCTAGCCTTGAGCTGAAGAGCAGAGGCACAGCGCCCAGGCCCAGAGTTCAAGCCCCATGACCAACAACAACAAAAAAAAAACCACGTTTCTATTACACTTTGTTGGGCTTCTCCCTTCATTAATTTTTAGATGTAGAGTCTAGCCGAGTCAGTTAAATTCTACAGCTCCTAACACACTTATCATCCCTATTTATGCAAGATCCTTCCATTGTCTCTTATTTCAATCTCTAATTTCCATTACCTTACCTAATATGAATACATACCCCAAAGTGACATATACATACTGAAAAAATGCATATCCTAGCCAGGTGCCCAGTGGCTCACGCCTATAACCCTACTCAAAAGGCTGAGATGTGAGGATCATTCAAAACTAGCCCAAGCAGGGGAGCCAGTGAAACTCATATCAATTAGCCAGAAAGAACTTGGAAATGGAGCTGTGGCTCAAGTGGTAAAACACTAGTTTTGAGTGAAAAAGCCAAGGGACAGTGAAAAGTCCTGACTTCAAGCCCCAGTACTGGCACCAAAAAAATGCATTTTTGGGGGGTCAATTGTAGGGCTTGAACTCAGGACTGGGAACTGTCTTTGAGCTCTTTTTTGCTAAATGTTAGCACTCTACCACTTGAGTCACAGCTCCACTTCCAGTTTTTGGATGGTTAATTGAAGATAAGAGTTTCATGGGGCTGGGAAGGTAGCTCAGTGGTAGAGTGCTTGCCTTGCATGCATGAGGCTCTGGGTTCGATTCCTCAGCACCACATAAGCAGAAAAAGCTGGAAGTGGTGCTGTGGCTCAAGTGGTAGAGTGCTCATCTTGAGCTGAAGAGCTAAGGGAAAGTGCCCAGGCCCCACAACTGACTAATTAACTAATTAATTAAAAAAGAGTTTCATAGACTTTCCTGTCCAGGCTGGCTTCAAACTGTGATCCTCAGATTTCAGCTTGCTGAATAGCTAGGATTACATGCTTGAGACACCAGCACCCAGCTAAAATGCATATTCTTGGAAAATAGCATGTTTTAAACTTACATTAATGCAATTGCAAATTTCATTCCATTTTTAGTCTACACTAGGCTTATATTTTATCTGTATTACAGCTTATAAATCTACTCTTGCTTTGAAATGCTCTACAATATTCCAAAGTCTGTGTATTATTCACTTCATTACTTTTTGGGGAAGAAGACAAGGTCTCCCTATGTAGCTCATTCTTTTTTTTTTTTTTTTTTGGCCAGTCTTGGGGCTTGAGCTCAGGGTTTGGGCACTGTCTCTGAGCTCCTTTTGCTCAAGTTTAGCACTCTATTACTTGAACCACAGCACCACTTTCGGCTTTTTCTGTTTATGTAGTACTGAGGAATTGAACCCAGGACCTCATGCATGCTAGGCAAGCATTCTACCACTAAGCCACATTCCCAGCCTTGTAGCTCAATTCTTAATCTTTCTGTTTTAGCCTCCAGAGTGCTGGAATTACAGGTGCACAGCACAATACACAAGTATTCATCACACTTAATTTATACTTTCCCCCAGTGATGGCCAACTATATTGCCACCAACATTCCACTACCACATGGTACCAAGATGAACAATCCTAAATATTTTTATTTATGATCCTAAGAAAGTCTCTTTGAGATATAGAATACATATGTGTACATGTGTGAAATTTCCATAAGTCATATGACATTTATATGACATGTCACAGACAAATGTGACATAGTCACATTCATCTCTATCTTACTTCCTTCTCCCCCACCTCTTCTAATACTTAGCACATGACAACCTGACACAACTCAAGTAAGGCTTATTGAAAATGAAGAAAGGAAAAGCTTGTTTTATTCTGGCTATTCTTCCAACCTAGAACTTCTTTTCCATCTCCACTTTTATACATCAGTATAAAGACAAAATAAAAGCTATGTTTTACTCTTAGTAGGTACTAAGAATTATGCTAAATATTTCACAAGGATTATTCCATCTATTCCTCCCAACAATGTAACAAGATAGTTTATTATTATTACCCACTTCATAGGAACTGTGGTTTAGAGAAATCAAGTTGTATAATGAGTTGTATACTTGTGTTTTAATCAGGTAAATTAAATGTAAGTACTCCCACACACTATCCTATGTCACACTGTCTCCCTGATCTCCCTATCTTTAAGGCCTATCAACAATAAATATGGTACTAAGAGGCAGTCCCTGCCTTTTGAGAGCATCTGACTTTCAGGATGTCAGGTTGGAGGTTCAACCAAGGGCACCTTTATTATCTTCTTCCAACATTCTACTTACCGCTTCTTGGCAATTTCATTCTGCCGCTTCACCTTCTCTTCTTCAAACTCCCGGATGTTGCGCACACCAATCTCCCGACAAAACTCTTCAAACACCTCATCTTCTACCTAAGGGAAGAAGTCCTCTTGATCAGAATCCTGCTTCTAACACCAGTCCTGCCTTGATACACATGTTGGTATACTCATCCCATTACAAACCTGGTTCATCTTCTCCTTCAAGTCCTTCATTTCTCTCTCGCGGCTTTGAATGATTCTCTTGATATCATTAATGCGAGGCCCAAAGTTGGCCAGCTCACTCTCCAGCTTAGACTTTTCCTGTAAGCAGTGTGTTGAAAAACAAGATACTGAGTTCCTTAGACAAAAAGATCTACCCTGACAGCACCAGCCTCATGGTCAAGAAGGATTAGCTCTCCCCACACTGAGAAAACCTGACTTAACACTACCGCCCTATACTCTAAAATTTCTCACTGAAGCCATCACATGGCTTCCCCAGCCTCCAATTCAATCAGGGATGAACACACAGTAAATATGATTAAGTTATAGGTCCAAAGTCCCTTATCTATAATCTCTGGAAATATTTTAGTATTTACACTTTATTTTATAAAAAAGGTGAAGTTATACATATACATGAACCCATCATGTATGCACATAATGTACATGTAGATATATACACACACATGAATACTTACATGCATGTATACCTAAATACACATACATATACTACATATATACATACTATATACTACCTCCAAGGAAAACTAGGAAAAGTACCTAATAATCTAAAAAAAAAAAAACTCAGCCAGGCGTCCGTGGTTCACACCTGTAATCCGAGCTACTCAAGAGGCTAAGATCTGAGGATCCTAGTTCAAAGCCATCCCAGGCAGGAAACTGTGAGTGTTTTTTTGTTTTGTTTTTTTGCCAGTCCTGGGGCTTGAACTCAGGGCCTTGGTACTGTCCCTGAGCTTCTTTTGCTCAAGGCTAGCACTCTGCCACTTGAGCCACAGTGCCACTTCTGGCTTTTTCTGTGTATGTGGTACTGAGGAATCGAACTCAGGACTTCATGCATGCTAGGCAAGCACTCTACCACTAAGCCACATTACCAGCCCTTCCATGAGACTCTTATCTCCAATAAACCACTAGAAAACCAGAAGTGGCACTGTGGCTCAAGTGGTAGTAGAATGCTCACCTTGAGCTGAAGAGCTGAGGGATAGTGCCCAGGCCCAGAGATCAAGCCCCACGACTGACAAAAAAAAATCATAAAGGGGCTGGGAAGGTGGCTCAGTGGTAGAGCGCTTGCCTTGCATGCCTGAGGCCCTGGGTTCGATTCCTCAGCACCACATAAGCAAAAAGATAAAAGCCGGAAGTGGCGCTGTGGCTCAAGTGGTAGAGCGCTAGCCTTGAGCTGAAGAGCTGAGGGACAGTGCCCAGGCCCAGAGTTCAGGCCCCACGACCGGACCGAAAAAAAAAAAAATCATAAATAGCTGAATGTTGGTGGTTCATGCCTATAATCCTAACTATTCAGGAGGCTGATATGCAAAGGCTTATGGTTCAAAGTCGACCCAGAAAAGCCTACAGACTAAATTTCCAAAATAACGAGCAAAAGGCAAAGCTGAAGCCAAGTACCAGTGGCTCCCACCTGTAATCCAAGCTGCTTAGGAGGCTAAGATCTGAGGACTGTGGTTCAAAGCCAGCCCAGGCAGGAAAGTCCATGACTAACTCTCATCTCTAACGAATCAATAAAAAGCCAGAAGTAGAGCTTTGGTTAAAGTGGTAGAGTACTAGCCTTGAACAAAAAATAAACTAAGGGATAGCATCCAGGACTAGTTCAAGCCCCAGGAATGAACTTGGAAAAAAGGAAAGGAAGAAAAGAAAGCAGAGCTGGAGGCATAACTCCAAGGACAGAGCACCAAATTAGCAAGCCAAGCAAGCCTAAAGCTGAATTCAAACTTCAGTACCATAATACAAAAATACATCTATCTATTAATAGTACCCCCACCAGTAGGAGCTGGTTTATTTCATTAAATAACCTATGATAGCCACAAACTCTTGATCCTCTTGCCTCAGCCTCCCAAGTACTAGGAAGATAAGCATGACTGTCACAAACTTGTAGGTTACTTTTAATTTACCCTTAGAAATTTAAATATTTTTGAATGAATTATGCTAATAATAGCTCCTAACATTTACTGAGCACTTACTACTAAGCTATTTGTATTAGCTCATTCTGTCTTCACAATGACCCTATAAAGCAGATACTAATTCCAATTTATGGGTAAAGATGAGAAAACTGATGCTGAAAGTTTAAGGTGCCTACTGTCATAAAGATAAGAACTACACCTATGGTTATCATGCTGTATACTGTGCTTATTAGTTCCTTGGACCAGGCTGAGAGAGAAGAATAAAACAAGTTCCCCACCTCCAGAGAAATCTGGGCTACGAATATGAGAATGGCCTTTGGAGAACAGGGCTAAAAGCCAGGTCTCACCTGGAGATTTAGGGCCAGATGTCTTGTCTTAGTCTGTTCCAGGTCACTCTGTGAGTACTTGAGTCGCATCTGCAGTCCATGGGCCTGAGACTGCACCTGACGCAGCTCTGCCTCTTTCCTCTTTGCTTTCATCTGTTCCTAAAAGTGACAAGAAAGAAGGACTTGATAAGGTGGCTAACCTGGGCTCAGGACCTTTACCTCTAAGGACTAGTATTTCCCTTGACTTACTTTCAGCTCCTCTGTCAAACGTTCCTTCTTTTCTTTCAACTTGTCCACTGCTTTCTCATCCCAGCGCCTTGCCTTGGCCTTCAGGTCACTGGCCCCACCAGAGATGACTCCTGACTTCTGGAACAGGGTCCCATCGAGTGCCACCGTCTATACAGTACGAAGAAAATAAGAGGAAGCCAGGCGCTAGTGGCTCACGCCTGTAATCCTAGCTACTCAGGAGGCTGAGATCTAAGGATCATGGTTCAAAGCCAGCCCGGGCAGGAAAGACCGTGAGACTCTTGTCTCCAATAAACCAACAGAAAACCGGAAGTGGTAGGTTGCTCAAGCAGATCACTCCCCTTGAGCTGAAGAGCTGAGGGACAGCTTCCAAGCCCAGAGTTCAAGCCCCATGACCGACACACACACACACACAAAAAGAAATTAGGAGGAAAAGCTGAACATTGGAATCTCCAGAACTGAGTCTATCCAGTTCCAACCTGGAGAAGAGAATCCACACCTTGTGGCGCTGGTGGCCTCCAAAGGCAATCCGACGGGCATCTTCCACATTGTCACAGACAAGGGCATTGCCACAAGCATACTGCAGGGCTTTTTTAATATGAGGTGGCTCATAGCGGATCACATCAATCACTAGCTTGGCTCCCTTGAGCTCCCGAAGTTTCTCATCTGTAGGTTTCACCTGTAGAGAAAAGCTTAGTAAGTAGCAGAAAATATTACTGAGGTGGGAGGTAGTGATTTGAATAATACCCTGACACCATCCCCACTAGCCTCACCTCTAGGTAGTCAAGAGGCAAGAAGGTCTCAGGCTCCCCACGCTGCTCCTTGATATACTGAATACAGTCTCGGCCTGTTTTCTCGGAATCTACAATAATGGCATCCATGTTCTTGCCCAAAACCTTTGTCACCGCTATCTGGTATTTCTTTTGTGTGGGCTGGCAGAGGTCAATGAGGCGGCCATACTGAAAAAGGAAAAGGAGAAAACTGATGTATGAGGCTTTTGGAAGCTGGCTCAAAAATCTCAGTTACCAAGCTGGGCAATGATGGCTTGCCTGTAATCCTAGCTACTCAGGAGGCTGAAATCTGAGGATTGCAGTTCAAAGCCAGCACCGGCAAGAAAGTTCGTGAGACTCTTATCTCCAATAAACTACCAAAAAGGTTAGAAATAGAGCTATGGCTCAAATAGTAGAATGATAGCCTTGAGCAAAAAGCAGCTCAGGGGCAGCACCCAGGCCTTCAGTTCTAGTCCCAGAACCAGCACCAAAAGAAAAATCTCAATTACCAATTCACAAAGAGGGCAGCCTAAAATGTGTACCAGGAACAATGAATGTAGCTATACTGCCTAGTGAATAAGCTTGACTGTAAGACCTGCAGTTTTATAACCCTGACATGAATAGGAATGGAGTGAGAGGAGACATTTGCTGGATAAATATTGCTGCCAGTTATTAGCCAATCTGAATCTTACTTCCAAAAGTAGAAAAGTGGGCTGGGGATGTGGCTTAGTGGTAGAATGCTTGCTTAGCATGCATGAAGCCCTAGGTTCAATTCCTCAGTACCACATAAGCAGAAAAAGCTGGTAGTAGTGCTGTGACTCAAATGGTAGAGTGCTAGCCTTGAGCAAAAGAAGTTCACAGATAGTGTCCAGGCCCTGCGTTCAAGCCCCAGGACTGCCAAAAAAAAAAAGGAGAAAAGTTTGGGTAAGAGAAGGCTTAAGGAATGAATAAACAGGTTATGTAAAAAGGGAAATCCAATATTATATTAATATCTAGAAAGAGCTCAGAACAAGAGATTACACTGTCTCTTAGCTCAATTATACCAGATGCCTAAATGGGTGAAGTTAAGTTTTCCAAGACTACTCCTACTTATAGAACCTGACAAGATTAATGGGAGCTTAGAAACCTAGCAGCCTCAGCCCAGGAGACATTTCATATATAATATGATGATGAACTAGATTAATTACTAATTAATGGATGAATAGGATTCTAGTAATATGTGCCAGTATAGTCTCACTTATATGATTATTTGATATAAAGGATTTGTGTTTAAAGATAAGGTGAAATACACATTTAGTCATCGTCTCCAGTTCTTGATACTCAGTTCCAAACACTGGAGTGATAACGATGAGCTCAATAATCACTGGCCATTCATTTTTAAGTAGTTTTAAGATGGCAGCTAGTTACTAGAAAGACTCAGGGCAAGACTGAGGATGGGACTTTCAGTACCATCCCTCAACTTCTGGGGAAAGATGGCTGAAGGTTGAGTTGAGCAAGAATGGCCAATAATTTAATCAATTATATCATGCCTATATACTGAAGTCTCCATAAAAACCTAAAAGCTACAAGAGCTGGTAGCATGGCTCAAGTGCTTAGCCTAGCACTTAAGTTCTTGCTCAGCTAGTGCAGGACTGCAGAACAGCAAGAATAAAATAGAACACTAAAAGCTGTACTGTTCAAGGTGCTTCTGGATGGCTGAACAAGAGGAGGTGCCTAAAGGGTGGTGCACTTGGACACATCATAAAAATTGCACACCTCCTTCTTGCATTTGGCTATTCCTCAGTATCCTTTATTAAAAAATTGGTAAATGTGTTTCTCCATGTTCTGTAAGCCATTCTAGCAAATCAGTCAAACTCAGCGAAGGGTCAAGGGAACCCAATGTCAGTCACAAATCTGGGGTTTATTAACTGGCATATGAAAAATCTGATGGGACTGAGTACTTAAACTGTGGAAATCTGATGATACCTCTAGGCAGACAGCAGAATTGAACTATACTATACGACATCTGATGAAGAATTCCTTGGTGTATATGGAAGACTCCATTCCACCTCTCCTACATAAACACATCTAGTATCAGAAGTGAAGTGCTATACTGGCTGTGTGAGAATACGAAAAGCACTTTGAGCAAGGCCCTGATTTCAAATCCCATTACTGCAAAAAAAAAAAAAAAGGAAAAGCATTTTGTTTCTTTCCTTACAGAGGAACATAAGCATGGACCTCCATGCTATGCAGAAGACAAAAAAATTCTTCTCAAGCAACAATTTCAGGTCATGTTTGAAACCCCAATCACCTATTTCACAGAAGAGTGACACCAAGATACTATATAAGATCCCTTATAGATACTATCTCAAATTCTCACCAGTACCTAACAAAATAAATCTTTGCCAATTCTCTTCCCTCCTACCCAAGTATGATTCCCTGAGAAGTACCAGGTTATAATAGGTAAGGTCTTCAAGGACAGGATTGATTCTAATTCACAACTATTTTCACAGCAGTACCCAGTACCTAAGAGTGCTCAAGAAATATTTATGGAGCCAAATTAAGTTGAACCTAGTATAGGATAGTATAACATAAATGGATAATATTCAGGGAACCTGGGAACTCAGCATTTGGTCAAAGAGGCCTAAGGTATGAGATGTGAAGCCAATTAAAAATTTATTTTGTAGGCCGGGTGCCGGTGGCTCACGCCTGTAATCCTAGCTACTCAGGAGGCTGAGATCTGAGAATCGCGGTTCAAAGCCAGCCCGGGCAGGAAAGACCATGAGACTCCTATCTCCAATAAACCACTAGAAAACCGGAAGTGGCGCTGTAGCTCAAGTGGTAGAGCGCTCGCCTTGAGCTGAAGAGCTGAGGGACAGCGCCCAGGCCCAGAGTTCAAGCCCCATGACCGACAAAAAAAAAAAAAATTATTTTGTATATTCACAATAAAATTTCCAAAGTGAGCAGGATGCCAGTGGCTCATACCTGTAATCCTAGATACTCAGGAGGCTGAGATTAAGAATAGTGGTTCAAAGTCAGGCCAGGAAAGAAAGTCTGTGAGATTCTTATCTCCAATTAACTACCAAAAACCAGGAACTGGAGCTATGGGCTTGAGTGGAGTGGCAGAGTGCTAGCCTTAAGCAAAAAAGCTCAAGGACAGTGCCCAGGCCCTGAGTTCAAGCCCAGGACTGGCACCAAAAAGAGATATGACAATGTCCTATGTGTCCCTGAAAGCTATGGGTTGGCTAGTTTGTGCCAAGGGACCTTAAGTCTGCACAAAGCTACTTCCTTGAAGAGCAAAGCAGACCCATCATCTCTGCACATTCCATAGGCTTCCTTGGTCTCCTCATTCCACTAAAGGAGTACACACACAGCAAGAAAAATCCTTCAAGACGGGCGCCGGTGGCTCACACCTGTAATCCTAGCTACTCAGAAGGCTGAAATCTGAGGATCACTGTTCAAAGTCAGCCTGGGCAGGAAAAGCTGTGAAACTCTTATCTCCAATAAACCACCAGAAAACCGGAAGTGGTGCTGTGGCTCAAGTGGTAGAGTGCTAGCCTTGAGCTGAAGAGCTGAGGGACAGTGCTCAGGCCCAAAGTTCAAGCCCCATGACAGACAAAAACAAAAACAAAAACCATTTAATAACATGTGATTGGTGCAGTGAAAACAGCATAAGCTTAAGAGTCAGGACAACCGGGGGCTAAATTTTAGTTCTCCCACTTATAAACTGTGCTTCTTTGGGCAAGCCATTTAATCTCTCCACGTTGCAGTTTCTCTAGCTACACAAATATGATTAACCCCCTTGTCCTCACAGGTCTGCTGGGAAAAGCTTGATAGTGAGTCTGAATAAGCACTTGGGAAACAGGTTTCTTCTCCAGTCTTACCACAGAGCCAGGGTAAAGGCGCTTGATGCTTTCCATTATCTCTGCCTTTCGCTGCTGGCGACTGCTCTCCTGGCGGTCAATACGGGCATCTCCCAACTGCTCCATCACCTGATTTAGTTCCTTATTGATCTCATCAATACGCCGTTTGGCCATCTCTACTTCCTCTGTCAGTTCTCCCTCTAACTTCTTCTGCTCCTCTAGGGATTGCCTATAAAGTGAGAAAACACAGGAGTTGTACACTGACTAGTGATAATATTCCTAAATTGAGGGCTGGGAAGGTGGCTCAGTGGAAGAGCGCTTGCCTTGCAAGCTTGAGGCCCTGGATTCGATTCCTCAGCACCACATAAGCAGAAAAGAAAAGCCAGAAGTGGCGCTGTGGCTCAATGGTAGAGTGCTAGCCATGAGCTGAAGAGCTCAGGGACAGCACCCAGGCCCAGAGTTCAGGCCCCACGACTGGACTCAAAAAAAAAAAAAAAAAAATATATATATATATATATATATATATATATACACACACACACATATATATTCCTAAGTTGAAAAACTCTGGTAGTCTTCCTGAAAGAGAGGCCTGGAAGAAAAGCAGACAGGTTGGGGCTGGGAAGGTGGCTCAGTGGTAGAGCGCTTGCCTTGCATGCCTGAGGCCCTGGGTTCGATTCCTCAGCACCACATAAGCAAAAAGAAAAAAGCCCGAAGTGGCGCTGTGGCTCAAGTGGTAGAGCATTAGCCTTGAGCTGAAGAGCTGAGGGACAGCACCCAGGCCCAGAGTTCAGGCCCCATACGGAAGGAAGGCAGGCAGGCAGGCAGGCAAAGCAGACAGGTGCCAGTAGCTCACACCAGTAATCCTAGCTACATAAGAGGCTGAGATCTAAGAATCATGGTTCAAAGTCAACCCAGGCAGATAAATCTGAGAGACTCTTAACTCCAATGAACCAGCAAAAAGCTGGAAGTAGAGGTGTGCCTCAGGTGACAGAGAGCCAGCCTTGAGCAAAAAGGTAAGCAAGAATGCAAAGACTTGAGAATTGAAAGCCCCAAAGCCTGAGTTTCAAGGCACAAAAAGGGGGAAGAATAGAAAACAAAGGAAAGGTTATAAAACCACATACTTGCTGGTCGTAATGTATTCTTCCAGCTTCTCAATCCGTTTCTGATTCTCTTCAATCTCTCGAAGCTTTTGCTTGATCTTGGCCTGAGCAATAAAAGTATTCATCATCAAGGGCTGATCTAGTAAGCTCTAAGACCATGGTGCCCTAGCTTATATTCCCAATGTGCCTAATCACCCAAGGGCCCAACAATCCAAGACAATTTGTCAACAATGCAGGAAGCCTACTAAAAATGCAGATATACAGTGTTCTATTTGGCCTGCTAACTCCTAGGACTCCAGAACTTCTCATCAGTATTACAGCCAGCCTAAGTTTTCAAACCAAACAGAGATTCAAACCAAGCAAGGTCAAGTAAAGCCTTTTCTGAACCTGTTAGTTCATCTGTAAAATGTGGGTAATTTCCATTTCATAGAATACACATTAAAGTACTAACTACAGGATAGTTAATATTTATGGCCATCACATTCTTTTAAATATTTCAAAGACATTCTTAGCAGACTGCCTGGAATGCTGTAGGCTTTTAGCATAAGAGAACTTTTTTTTTCTTTGGCCGGTCATGGGGCTTGAACTCAGGGCAACACTTACTTTTTTGTAGTGGATAATTGGAGGTAAGAGCCTCACAGACTTTCTTGCCTGAGCTGGCTTTGAACTGCAATCCTCAGATCTCAGCCTCCTGAGTAGCTAGGATTACAGGCATGAGCCGCCAGCATCTGGCAAGAACAACTTTTTAATCATCATTATTATTGACATTAGAGATGAAGTACGTGAAGTACACATGGTAAATACATGTGCTTTAGAGCTAGATGGTTCAAGTTAATATCCTGGCTCTGCTTAGAAAAAGTACCACATCTCTATGCTACAGTTTCCACATTTGAAAGAGAGTACAATTGTAGGCATCTCAAAGCTTTAAATGTGTAAATATATGCAAAGAACAGTGTCTAGAATAAGTACTCAATACATGTAAAGTACTATCATTCTTGTTATTATTTCCTTTTCTAAGGACTATCATTCCGTTTAATAGTTGGCTGGTTGGTTGTGGTGCTGGGGCCTCACATATTTATGCTAAGCAATTTACTCAGCCACTGAGGTATATTCGAAATCCTAATCTTGTAACTCTTGCCTACCTCTGTTTCTACTTTCTTCCGCTCTTCTAGATCCAGACGGTCCTGATCAGCTTTCTGGTCTCTATTGAACTTCTCTAGCTCTTGGGCCAAAGTAGCTGCTCTCTTGCTGGCTTCTTCTTTCAACCGATGGTATTTCTTCACCTGTGTTAGGGACAGAAAGGACAGGGATGAATAAGTTAGCCCATGTCAACCCAGTCATTTCTTCACTAATTCTTTTCAGGCTTGCCTGGTTCTCTTCCAGGGTCAAGTCTCTGCCCTGACTCTGACTCTCCTCTTCCATCCGTTCTTCAAACTCCTGTCGGGCCTTCTCCACAGATAACATCTCCTTCTCCAGCTCATCCATATCACCTTTACGCTTCTTATAGTGCTTCTGAGCATTCTGAAGAGATTTTTTCGCTGCTTCCAGCTTTTTAATCTTGTGGGAGGTATTCTCCTTAGCTTTGATGTACTGAGGTCGCTTCTGATTCAGCTCTGAATCCTTCTCCCTGTTGCCACAGAAAAGGAGACAACCAGTAGGCACTGAGATGGGGGGGGGGGTTCCCCTAGGCTTTTTACAGAGCCAACTTTAGAGAATTGCTTTTAAAAAAAACAATGGCCTGCCGGGCGCTGGTGGCTCACGCCTGTAATCCTAGCTACTCAGGAGGCTGAGATTTGAGGATCACGGTTCAAAGCCAGCCCAGGCAGGAGAGACCTTGAGACTCCTATCTCCAATAAACCACCAGAAAACCGGAAGTGGCGCTGTAGCTCAAGTGGTAGAGCGCTCGCCTTGAGCTGAAGAGCTGAGGGACAGCGCCCAGGCCCAGAGTTCAAGCCCCACGGCCGACAAAAAAAAAAAAACAATGGCCTGCCAGCTTCTGGTGGCTCACTTCTATACTCCTAGCTACTAAGGAGATTGAGATCTGAGGATCTCAGTTCAAAGCCGACCTAGGCAAGAAAGTCCATGAGACTCTTTTATTTTGGTTGGTCATGGGGCTTGAACTCTGGGCTTGGACGCTATCCCTCAGCTCTTCAGCTCAAGGTGAGCGCTCTACCACTTGAGCCACTGCGCCACTTCCGGTTTTCTAGTGGTTTATTGGAGATAATTGTCTCACGGAGTTTCCTGCCTGAGCTGGCTTTGAACCTTGATCCTCAGATCTCAGCCTCCTGAGTAGCTAGGATTACAGGCGTAAGCCACCAGCACCCGGCTTCCATGAGACTCTTATTTCCAATGAACCATCAAAAAGCTGAAGTGGAGCTGTGGCTCAAGTGGTAGAGCACTAACCTTGAGCAAAATTACCTCAGGGACAGTTCCCAGGCCATGAATTCAAGCCCCAGATGGTCATAAAAAGAAAAAAAAAGAATAAGGGCCTAAGTCTAACATCAGTGACTCATACCTATAACTTTAGCTACTCAGGAGGCTGAGATCTGAGGATCAAGGTTCAAAGCCAGCCCGAGCAGGAAACGCCATGAGACTCTTATCTCCAATAAACCATTAGAAAACCAGAAGTGGCGCTGTGGCTCAAGTGGTAGAGCGCTCGCCTTGAACTGAAGAGCTGAGGGATAGCACCCAAGCCCAGAGTTCAAGCCCATGATCGACCAAAAAAAAAAAGAAAGAATAAAAAAAAAGAATAAATTTTTTTTTAAAAAAAGTCTGTAAGTCTTATCTCCAACTAGTTAGCAAAAAAAACACCAGCCATGTGCAAGAGAGGACATGAAACCCTGAGTTGAAGCTATGATACAGATAAAAAAAATGGGGGGAGGGGTCTTGATACACATAGATCCTCAAAAAAGGGAATCGACATCAGCTGCACTGGACATTGATCAAAACAAACCAAGCAACTCGATGGCAGCGATGGGAGGGAAGGAATGAGTGGGAAAGAGGGAACGGCTGACACTATGCAAAAGGAAAGGAATGTACCTATCACCCAATGTAGAAGAAATAACTGTATAGTCAAAGCCCACAAAACTCATAAACATTATAGAGCACCATAGACAATCTGCCCCATGAAGGTTAGAATGTCTTTGTGACTTTAACTAAGCACCAACATCCCACAATACTGTGAAATTTGTGAAATTATATAATCACTTAATCACACTAAAAAAATTTGCAAAAAAAAAAAAAAAAAAGGGGGAGGAGGTCAGTCTTTAATACAGTTTCAGGGGGCTGGGAAGGTGGCTCAGTGGTAGAGCACTTGCCTTGCATGCTCAAGGCCCTGGGTTCGATTCCTCAGCACCACATAAGAAAAAGCCGGAAGTGGCGCTGTGGCTCAAGTGGTAGAGTGCTAGCCTTGAGCTGAAGAGCTGAGGGACAGCGCCCAGGCCCAGAGTTCAGGCCCCACGACCGGACCCCCAAAAAAAAAAAAAATACAGTTTCAGTGTGGCATTCCAGCCACACCTAAGGCAAATCTACCATCCCTGCTAGGCCAGGCCTCACATATGTCCTTCACCTGATCTAACCATTTCAAATTCCTGTCCTTTACCTTCTAGACTTAACATTCATTTTCTAGGATAGCTTTCTTTCTTTTTTTCTTTTTTCTTTTTGTCGGTCATGGGGCTTGAACTCTGGGCCTGGGCTCTGTCCCTCAGTTCTTCAGCTCAAAGCGAGCGCTCTACCACTTGAGCCACAGAGCCACATCCAATTTTCTAGTGGTTTATTGGAGATAAGAGTCTCACGGATGGGCTGGGAAGGTGGCTCAGTGGTAGAGTGTTTGCCTTACATGCCTGAGGCCCTGGGTTCAATTCCTCAGCATCACATAAGCAAAAAGAAAAAAGCCAGAAGTGGTGCTGTGGCTCAAGTGGTAGAGCACTAGCCTTGAGCTGAAGAGCTGAGGGACAGCGCCCAGGCCCAGAGTTCAGGCCCCACAACTGGACCAAAAAAAAAAAGAGTCTCACGGACTTTCCTGCCTGGGCTGGCTTTGAACAGCGATCCTCAGATCTCAGCCTGAGTAGCTAGGATTACAGGCATGAGCCACTGGCACCCGATATTCAGGATAGCTTTCTTAGTCACTCTAGTGGCATACTTCTCATTGTTTCCTCTCACTTGACAAGGCCACCACCCCTTCCAAATTCTTCCTCCTCTGACTACTTGTCTACCCTGAGCTTGAGTACTTTCTACTTGTATTAAAGTACAAGACAAGAATTCTGGTCAAAGCAAGCCAAAGAGAAGATAGGGAAATTGTTATCACTACTGGAGTCTAGGCTCAGGAGCCCAAAGGAACAACATAGCCTCTTGGTTGCCCACAAGTTACAGGCCCACATCTGCTTCTTACTTGATCTCCTTCTCAATCTGCTGCTGCTCCCGCATCATTTTGCCCAGCTCTTTCTTCTTCTCCTTCAGCTCATCCTCTACTTTGTCCATCCGTTTCTTGTCCTTCTCAATCTCTTTGTTCTTAGAAGCCAGTTCCTTATTGAGTTTTTCAATTTCTACTTCATTATGGTAAAGCTTGAAGAGCTGCAACTGTACTTGAGCACGTACCACCTCGTCCTTCAGGCGCTGGTAACGATCTGCCTGTGCAAATGGGAATGAAGATGAATACATTAGTAAGGCACTGGCCCCATCCTGGCCCCAAAGAGGTAGCACATAGAACATACCTCTTCTTTCTCCTGTTTGGCCTCCTTACGTTCAGCTGCAATATTTTTCTTACGATGATAATTAAATTGTGTATCTTCTTCAGCCTTTACCATTTCCTTCTTTCGCTTATCATACTCCTGTGCCAGCTCCCCAGAGCGACTAATCTCTTCAAATAGAGCTGTCCTCTCCTTGGGGTTCTTCATGGCAATAGACTCCACAGCACCCTAATAAAGGTCAAACAACTCTTCCATTTAGAGTTTAACTGGCTCAGCTCCCCTTGTTTACTCACTTATTCAGGGAAAGTTCAGATTCCCCTCTCTATAACCAATGCCATCTGTCACCCTGGACTTTAAGGGCATAGTCTGCTTTTGAGTAGCACAGGGAGCAGAAGAGACAAACACACAAGTAATATAGTATGTTATATGCAGTGACAAAAGCCAACACCCAAAGAAAAACTAAATGAAGGGGCTGGGAAGTTGGCTCAGTGGTAGAGCGCTTGCCTTGCATGCTTGAGGCCCTGAGTTTGATTCCTCAGCACCACATAAGCAAAAAGAAAAAAGCCGGAAGTGGCACTGTGGCTCAAGTGGTAGAGTGCTAGCCTTGAGCTGAAGAGCTGAAGGACAGCGCCCAGGCCCAGAGTTCAAGGCCCACGACCGGACCCAAAAAAAAAAGAGAAAAACTAAATGAAATTTGGCAGGTAATATACTGGTAGGGATGCTTATCTGGGAAGGATTCCTACAAGTGACTTCTAACTTGACTTTGGAAGATGGGGGAAAAATTAAACAGGAAAATATGAGAGGGGACTGGGGATATAGTTCAGTGGTAAAACACTTGCTTAGTATCATGCAAGAGGCCCTGGGTTTGATCATCAGCACATCTAAAGAAAAAAAGAAAGTAACTAAAAATCAGAAAGGTTGGGGCTGGGAAGGTCACTCAGTGGTACAGTGCTTGCCTCACATGCATGAGGCCCTGGGTTTGATTCCTCAGCACCACATAAACAGAAAAGGCTGGAAGTGGCACTGTGGCTCAAGTGGTAGAGTGCTTGCCTTGAGCTAAAGTAAGCCAAGGGACAGGCCTAGAGTTCAAGCCCCATGAGTGACAAAAAAAAAAAAAAAAAGAAAGAAAGAAATGTTGTTCCATGATTTTTTTTGGTTGGTTGTAGGGCTTGAATTCTGGACCTAGGCACTATCTCTGAGCTCTTCAGTTCAAGTAGAGTCCTCTACCACTTGAGCCACAGCACCACTTGCGGTTTTCTGATGGTTAACTGGAGGTAAGTCCCACAGAATTTCCTGCCGGAGCTGGCTTTAAACCTCAATCCTCAGATCTCATCCTCCTCAGTAGCTAGGATTACAGGCATGAGCCACCGGCGCCTGGCTTATTCCATGATTTTTAAGTAGAGAAAAATTAACACACAAAGGCTACATGCCAAAGATAGCAATGAATTTGGGAAATGCAAATGGTTTAATAAGCCTTCAGTTTAAGGTTGAAAAACAAATGAGGCTAGTAATGTAGGCAAGAGGGCTGGGACTGGGGCTTGTGGTAGAGTGCTTGCTTAGCATGCATGAAGCCCTGGGTTTGATTCCTCAGTACCAGGTACACAGAAAAAGCCAGAAGTGGTGCTGTGGCTCAAGTGGTAGAGGGCTAGCCTTGAGCAAAAAAAGCTCAGGGACAGTGCCCAGGCCCTGAGTTCAAGCCCCAGGACTGGCAAAAAATGGTAGGCAAGAACCAAATGATGGTGTTTTCTGAATGACAGTTTTAGGAGTTTTTCATCCTAAGGCAATCATTCTCACACTTCAGCAGACATCATTATAAACTGCAGTGCTTCACCCAAGTCTCTTTCTTTCAGCCTATAGGACTAGAATGGGGCTTGATGATGAAATGCTGGTCTGGAAACTGCAATTTGAAAATAACCATCTAAGGTATGAATGAATGAATGAATGAAATTCTCTAAAGAAAGAAAGGTAGCCAGGTGTGCCAGTGGATCATGCATACAATTCTAGCTATTCAGAAGGCTGAGATCCAGAGGATAGAGGCTTGAAGCAAGCCCAAGCAAAAAAGTCCACAAGATTCCACTGCCAATTAACCAGCAAAATACTGGGCTAGAGGTATAGGTGAAATGGTAAAGGAACAAATGTGAGCAAGAAAGCCAAGGAAGCATGAGGCCCCAATTTCAAACCCCAGAACCAGGTAGGGAAAGGCCAGGTGTCATGGCTCATGTCTATAATCCTACTTACTCAGGAGGCTGAGATCTGAGGATCTTGGTTCAAAGCCAGCCTGGACAGGAGAAAGTCTGTGAAACTCTTATATCCAATTAACCATCAAAAAGCCAGAAGTGAAACTGTGGCTCAAGGAGTGAGTAAAAAAAGATAAGGGACAGAGCCCAAGCTCTGATTTCAAGGCCCAGCATACCAGCATACACACAAAAAAAAGAAGGAGGAGGAGGAGGAAGAGGAGGAGGAAGAAGGAAGGAAGGAAGGAAGGAAGGAAGGAAGGAAGGAAGGAAGGAAGGAAACAGTGTTCTTGTAAAACTAGCCTTAGCCCATGGATTAAATTAGAAGGGGTCAGATTAGAATTAGGCATTCCATCAAAAAAGGTGAGTCAGGCACCTGTGGCTCACGCCTATAATCCTAGCTACTCAAGGCTGGGAAGGTGGCACAGTAGTAGAGTGCTTGCCTGGCATGCATGAGGCCCTAGGTCTAATCCTCAGCACCACATAAACAGAAAAAGCCAGAAGTGGTGCTGTGGCTCAAGTGGTAAAGTGCTACCTTGAGCTGAAGAGCTGAGGGACAGAACGCAGGCCCAGAGTTCAAGCCCCAGGGCTGACCAAAAAAAAGTCCTAGCTACTCAGCTGAGAGTCTTATCTCCAATTAACTACTCAAAAAGCAGAAGTAGTGCTGTGGCTCAAAGTGGCAGAATGCTAGCCTTGAGCATAAGAGCTCAGGGACAACGCCCAGGCCCTTAGTTCAAGCCCCACAACTGCCAAAAAAAAAAAAAAGGTGAGACGTTAGTAAGTCCAGAATAAGAGAACCTAGAGGTGATGGTACAAGGGCTTAAAAAAAAGCAGACACCCAATAACAGTTTAAAATGCCCACCTGGAAGACGAGGAAGTTACGAGCTTTGATGAGAATGCCCAACTTCTCTAACTCTTCACTGTATTCATGTAGTTGGACCACTTTGTTGTTGATCTTGTATTCAGAAGAACCTCCTATAAGACAGGGATCCGTTTTTCCCTCCTATTCCATTAAGTAGTTTAACCACCTCCTAGGACTCAAGGAAAGCCTTCTGACCAGCCTTACTCACCTACAATGACACGGGCAAAGGTGCGATCTTCAGCACCTTCCTCAGAATAGACCATGCTGACAAAGGCCCGATTGGCAGCTGGCTTGCCCACAGGAGCACCATGAATCAGATCCCGTAGGGTCTTTACTCGAAGGTTGCTGGTTTTTTCTCCTAGTACAAAGCTGATGGCATCCATGAGATTTGACTTACCTAAGAGAGGAGGGACCAAAACAGAGGAAGGCAAGTCAGGAAGAAGAAATGCAATAAAGGAGATACTGAGAACAGTTATGTCTTCTAGTCATTTAGTGCTCAGACTATTGGGAAGAGAGAATATTTCTCTACGCTCTGAAAATCTGAGTCTTAGAGTGTTATACACTTGTAATCCCAGCACTTAGGAGGTTAAGACAGAATGAAGTTTAAGACCCTCCTGAAACTGTCTCCAGAAGGAAGGGAGAGAGTGAGACAGGAGGGAGGGACAAAAAAAAGGAGGGGAGGGGCTGGGAAGGTGGTTCAGTGGTAGAGCGCTTGCCTTCCATGCCTGAGGCCCTGGGTTCAATTCCTCAGCACCACATAAGCAAAAAGAAAAAAGCCGGAAGTGGCACTGTGGCTCAAGTGGTAGAGCGCTAGCCTTGAGCTGAAGAGCTGAGGGACAGCGCCCAGGCCCAGAGTTCAGGCCCCATGACCGGACTCAAAAAAAAAAAAAAAAAAAAAAACAAACAAAACAAAACAAAAAAAAAAGAGGGGAGGGAAGAAACCTGGATACTGGGTCCAACCAAGCTCTGGGTCAAAAACTCAAGAAAAACAGTCTCCATGGGGCTAGGAAGGTGGCTCAGTGGTAGAGCGCTTGCCTTGCATACATGAGGCCCTGGGTTCGATTCCTCAGCACCACATAAGCAGAAAAAAAAAAGTCGGAAGTGGCACTGTGGCTCAAGTGGTAGAGCGCTAGCCTTGAGCTGAAGAGCTGAGGGACAGCACCCAGGCCCAGAGTTCAGGACCATGACCAGATCCAAAAGAAAAAAACAGTCTCCTTGAATTTACTATCTATAGCAGCCAGAAACTAGAACATCTACGGAAACAGTAAATTCATAAAATAGGCTGTTCTGCAACCTTTAATAGCATGGACAAACGCAGATAAAGAAACCAGGTAAACTATACTATGAGAAAACCTCAGGATGAGGAGGTTATGTTTACAAGACAAATGGCCTGGTCCTTTTTCCAAAATTCAATGTAGCATCAGTGGCTCATGCACACAATCCACTCAGGAGGCTGAGATCTGAAAAACTTAGTTCAAAGGCATTCTGAGTAGACAAATCCAAGACTTTTTTTTTTGTCAGTTGTGGGGCTTGAACTCTGGGCTTGGGCGCTATCCTTGCGCTCTTCAGTTCAAGGTGAGCACTCTACTACCACCTGAGCCACAGCGCCACTTCCAGTTTTCTAGTGGTTTATTGGAGATAAGAGTCTCATGGACTTTTCCTGCCCGGGCTGGCTTTGAGCCGTGCTCCTCAGATCTCAGCCTCCTGAGTAGCTAGGATTACAGGTATGAGCCACGGGTGCCCGGCTAAATCTAAGACTCTTATCTTCAATTAGGCAGGAAAAAGCAGGAACTGAAAGTATGGATTCCAGTGGTAGAGTGCCAGCCGTAAGCAAAAAAGCCCAGTAATTGGTCTTGAGTTCAAATCCCATACCAGCACAAAAACCTCAATGTATGGACTTGGCTAATAGAACACTTGTCTAGCAGACAAAAGGCCCCAGGTTTGTCCCCAACACTGCAAAAAAATAAAAATAGCAAAGTCTAAAAGGATAAAAAAAAAGCCATTCTAGATCACTTTTTTAAGGTGAATACTTTTTTCCTTCCTTTATTTTTTCTTCTTTGTGAGATAGGATCTCATTATTTAGCCCAGGCTAGTCTGGAACTCACAATCCTCCAGCCTTGCTTTCCAAGTACTGGGATTATATTACAGGTGTGCAATACCACCCCCAATTTCAGAGCATGAATTCTGACTGGACTCTAGCTCCACAAAATATCAAAAAACTTTCTGAGAAGCAATCAAGGAAGTTTAAATAAAAACTGGATAATTAATGACATCAAGAAATTAATTTTCTTAGTGATAACAATAGTAATACAGGAGAAAGATGATTATAGGAAATGAATACTAAAGTACTTACGAGTGAAATGTCATTAAGTCTACAGATTCTTTTCTGGTGTGAATAATTATAATTAATCCTTTCTAAAAGAAAAGGTACATGTAACAATACATAACAGAGTAACAACAGAATGCAAATCTTCCGCTCTTTTATTTATTTTTTTTCAGTTGTGGGACTTGAACTCAGATCCTGGGCACTGTCCATAAGCTTTTTCACTGAAGACTAGCACTCTACCACTTTGAGCCATAGCACAACTTCTGGCTTTCTGGTGGTAAACTGGAGATAAGGATCTCAAAATTTTTCCTGCCTGGGCTGGATTTGAACTGCGATCCTCACATCTCAGCCTCCTGAGTAACTAGGATTACAGGTGTTGAGCCACCAGCACCCTGCAAATCTTCTTTTTACTCAAAGCATAAAATAGACAATACTTCACATTGGGTCAACATGCAACTTAAAAACTGTTAATATGCATATTAAATATGGATATCCAGGGGCTGGGAAGGTGGCTCAGTGGTAGAGCGCTTGCCTTGCATGCCTAAGGCCCTGGGTTCGATTCCTCAGCACCACATAAGCAAAAAGAAAAAAGCTGAAAGTGGCACTGTGGCTCAAGTGGTAGAGCGCTAGCCTGGAGCTGAAGAGCTGAGGGACAGCGCCCAAGCCCAGAGTTCAGGCCCCAAGACTGGACTCAAATAAATAAATAAATAAATATGGATATCCACCATTAATTTTTTGTACCAATAACATAGCTTAAACTAAGGGCCTCACACTTCCATTCTGGTGCTCTACCACTTGAGCCAAACTTCTAGTAGTGCATTCTTGGGGGTTATTTTGGAAATAAGAGTTTTATGAACTTTTCTGCTTGGGCTGACTTTAAAACAAGGTCCTCAGATGTCAGCCTCTTTTTTTGGTGATGGTTGTGGGGCTTAAATTCAGGGCCCACGCACTGTCCCTGAGCTTTTTCACTCAAAGCTAGCACTCTACCATTCTGAGACACAGCAGTACATCTGGTTTTCTGGTAATTAATTGAAGATAAGAGTTTCACAGACTTTTCCCAGGCTGGCTTTGAACCAGGATCCTCAGATCTCAGTCTCTTGAGTAGCTAGGATTAGAGGTATGAACCACCTGTACCCAGTCCCACCATTAAAATTTGATTTATGCTAGGCACTGGGGGCTCACTCTTATATATAATCCTACCTACTTAGTAGGCTGAGATCTGAAGATTGTGGTTTGAAGCCAGTGGGGCAAGAAAATCCATGAGACTCTGATCTCCAGTTAATCACCAAGAAGTGGAAGTGGAGTGGCACCTCAAGTGGTAGAGTGCTAGCCTTGAGCACATAAGCTCAGGGACAGTGCCCAGACACTGAACACAACCCTAGTCAAAACCGGAGTCCGCTTTTAAAGTACTAATTTCCAATCTTTGTGCTCTCCCATGATATTCAAGGATGACAAGAACATCTCACAATCAAAAGCTTCTTTACTCACAATTATACAATACTGTCAACATTTTTGTGATATATAGTCTGAATTGTACATGGATAAAACATTTTCAGGAATGTCTTCTTTAAGGACCACACAAACCAGTAATGAAGATACAAAAACATACACCATGAATATAATTCCTAGAGGAGAATCAAGAGAGGTGGCCTTGAAGAACAGGGAATGATGGGGGTGTCAAGGAGCTTTTTACAACAGTTAGATAGAAAAATATACCAATACAGAGGGGACTCTGAGTGCCAAGAGGTGCATCCTTCCTTTTTCTATTACAGGTACAACACCAAAAGCGTAAGAAATTGGTAGAACTAAAAACAGTAACCCTCTAGGCCTGTGATTCTTAAGAGGTGGAAAGGGAGGGTGATTATGTTCCCCTCAAGACAAATGACAATGTATGGAGACATTTTTGATGGTCATACCTGAGGAGTGCGGGTATTGCCATCTAGTGGGTAGAAGCCAAGAATGCTGCCAAAGCACACTACAATACACAAGACAAACCTCATAGCAAATTGAGACTGCAGTGCCAAGGTTGAGAATTCCTGCTCTAAGCAGAAAGCCAAACACTGGAAGACCCCAGGGGACCTTCACAGCAAGGGCAGCCTCTCAGGCTAATGATTCAGCTAGAATATTTCTGGAGTGAAGGAACGGAGCAGGATTCCCATTAAACCACTTCTGGGGATAGGTGAGAGTAATCCATTTAGAGATGAGAAATTAAGATAGGAAATAGAAGCCCGGTGCCGGTGGCTCATGCCTGTAATCCTAGCTACTCAGGAGGCTGAGACATAAGGATCACAGTTCAAAGCCAACCAGAGCAGAAAAGTCCGTGAGACTGAAGAGCTGAGGGACTGTGCCCAGGCCCAGAATTCAAGCCTACGACCGACAAAAAAGAGAGAGAGAGAGAAAAAGAGAGAGAGAAAAAAAAGACAGGAAATAGAGGTCTTAACGGACCACTCATCCAAAGGACACCACTTAAGTAACTCTATAATTTCCATTTGACCCTTTTCCTGCACAGCACTTATAACGGCCTAAAATTAACTTATTTTCTACTTTCCTCAATATACATTTTCTAAGTGCATGGGTTCGGTGTATTCTATGCTCCACAAATTGCACAACATGAACAACTCTTAATAAACATTAAAGCAATCAACGAATAGTAAGCGAAAGACTTTCAGACTTCTGACGATTTCGGCGGTAGCAAAGGGCAAGTTCAAGCAAAAATGTCTGAGTAGGGGATCAGAAGCCTTTGCATTCTAAAGACTGGAGCGCCAGGTTCGAAATTCAAAAATGCCGCCACCCAAGGAGCTTTTACATGGCATTGGAACATACCAATCTAACATTAGTGGGAGGGGACACTGGGTTGAAATAAGTATGCCATTAGGGACTAGAGGGCACGTATAAATTATCCGCAGTCCCAAAGTTTCCGTTGGGTTCAACTAAGCCTGGGAAACCTAAACTAGCCAGACGGGCTGGGAGCCGTCCTGAAAGCAGTCACCAGTTGGCTCCAGACGCGCCTCGTTTGGCGGGAGGGGCCAGTGGGCGAGGCAATTTTACAGTTTGGCCCCATCACTCCCGCCACAGAGGGTGCCGCACAAAACACGGGCAATCCAGGGAACATGTTTTAGGCCAGTGAGTACGAGGGCCAACTCTCTAAGTAGGGGCAAGAAACCTTTTTAGCTTTCAAGTAGCTTCAGGTGGCAGGGGATGGGTTGTACTACTTTGGGGCCGTACAAGGGGAAGGGAGGGGTTTCCAGACCGGGACGTGCGCAGAGCCACAACCGGGTTAATCTCACCAGAGCCATTGGGTCCAATGATGGCGGTGAACCTCTGAAATGGTCCGATAATCTGTCGACCCTTGTACGACTTAAAGTTCTCGATCTCAATCAGTTTCAGGAACCCCATGGCGGCGGCCGCGGCGGCGCGGCGTAGGAGAACTGAGGTACCCCGCGCGGGAAATATCGCAGTGCAGGCCGGGCTTTTGGTAAATATCGCGAGAACAAGTCCAAGCCGCTAAGCGGGACTTCCGGCTTCCGGCACCGCTGGAAGTCAAGGGCGGGGACTGGAGTCTGACGTGGGAAATTTGATTGATCTGTTGAGCACGCGTGCGGGCCCCACCCCCCTTTCTTGTTCCCAGGCAACCACAAACAAATGTACAGAGTACTTGGGACATAAAACTGCTGGTGACAGAAGACTCAGAGCAGCTTTGGGTACCCGAGAAAGCAGGCGGGGCTTGAGCCCAGGTTTGCTGAGACAAGTCAGAAGTCACAGCAAGGTTATGCCCCGCAGGGCAAATACAGGTGGGAATTTTGCTGTGACGTTTTAAGACTGACCAGCCTGAAGGACAGGGTCCTTGGGAGTGGAGGGCTGGACTGGAAGGAGGGAACAGGGGGAGGATTCGGTTGTGGGTAAACTCAGACTGGGTTGGGAGTACTTCCAAACGACGGGAATATAAACTGAGGGGTGGGGGAGGCTACAGCCTGAAAATTTGGTCCCTCTCTCTTCCACCAAGCAGACCTGAGCAACTGTCGTTGTGACCCGAGAACATACTTGGACCCAAACCAACCTAGGAAAGTCAAAATCGGGATTCATTACTGAGAAAGGTATCTTGTGTGAACTCCCAGGAGCCAGTAATGTCCCAAAGCCTCGTCCTTTCCCCTTCTTCCCTCTCTGTTCTCTGCTTTCCAACTCTTCATTCCTTTGTTGCTCTTCTTCATCTTCTCTATCATGGTATTTCTCCATTCTTTCACCCTCTATATAATCTTTACCTACTCATTACTAAGGTTATGGTCATAGCTGTCCAAGAAGCTGAAAATGATATCCGAATCTTCCTCACCACTGACTTTATATTGTTGTGGCAGGTTTGGAACTGATAGGTTAGAGTTGATGCCATTTTCAGACTTACATACAGAAAGTATCTGGTAACTATAGTAGCCATTCCTGTTAGTGTGTGTGTGTGTGTGTGTGTGTGTGTGAGACATGGAGTTTGAACTCTGGGCCTGGGTGCTGTCCCTCAGCGTTTCAGCTTAAGGCTAGTGCTCTACCACTTGAGCCACAGAGCAACTTCTGGTTTTCTGGTGGTTTATTGGAGATAAGTCTCAAGCCCTTTCCTGCCTGGGCTGGCTTTGAACCATGATCCTCAGATCTCAGCCTCCTGAGTAGTTAGGATTACAGGTGTGAGACACCAGCACCCAGCTCCTGTTAATTATTTTAAAAATTATCTCTGGCCAGGTACTGGTGGCTCATGCCTAAAGTCTAGCTACTCAGGAGGCTAAGATATGGGAATCAAAGTTTGATGCCAGACTGGGCAGTGTAGCCCATGAAATACTTCTCCGATTAACCAGCAAAAACTTTAGAAGTGGAGATGTGTTTCAAGTGGTAAAGTGACTTCCTTGAGAAAAAAAGTTAAAGGAGAATATGAGGCCCTGAGTTAAAGCCCCAGTACCAGCACATGTGCACACACACACACACACACACACACACACACACACACTCACACTCACACACAACTGCTACAAGAAAATGTGTGTACAAGTTTGCTAGTCCTAGGACTTGAACTGAGGGCCTGGGCACTGTACCTGAGCTTTTGTGTTCAAGGCTAGTGCTCTACCACTCAAGCTACACCTCTACTTCCAACTTTTTGGGTAGTTAATTTGAGATGATTGTCACAGACTTTCCTGCCCAGTTCGTCTTCGAACCACAATCCTCAGATCTCAGCCTCCTGAATAAGATTACAGGCATGAGCCTCTGGCTCCTGGTGAAGAAAGGATTTTAATGTTTTCACTATAAAGAAATAGGGCTGGGAAGGTGGCTCAATGGTAGAGTGCTTGCCTTATGTACATGAGGCCCTGGATTCGATTCCTCAGCACCACATAAGCAGAAAAGCCAGAAGTGGTGCTGTGGCTCAAGTGATAGAGCACTAGCCTTGAGCTGAAGAGCTGAGGGACAGCGCCCAGGTCCAGAGGTCAGGCCCCAAGACCGACAAAAAAAAAAAAAAAAAGGAAATGATAAATGCTTGAGAAGATGTTTACCTATTTGAACATTATACAATGTATATGCATATATATGCATATGTAAATATGTTTAATTTTTGTGTTTATTGTTTTTTAATGCAAATAAAATAAACAAAAGAAATAAATGAGCCAGTCCCCTATGGCTCACATCTGCAATCTTAGCTACTCAAAAAGCAAAGAGCTGAGAATCACGATTCAAAGCCATATTGGGCAGCAAAGTTGATGAGACTCATCTGAAATAAATTACAAAAAGAGCCATAAGTGCAGCTGTGGCGCAAGTGGTAGAACACTAGCCTTGAGCAAGAAAAGCTGAGGGACAGCGCCCAGGTCCTGAAATCAAGCTCCAGGACTGTCAAAAATAAAAATTAGGGGCTGGGAAGATGGCTCAGTGGTAGAGTGCTTGCCTTGCATGCCTGAGGCCCTGGGTTCGATTCCTCAGCACCATATAAGCAAAAAGAAAAAAAGCCAGAAGTGGCGCTGTGGCTCAAGTGGTAGAGCGCTAGCCTTGAGCTGAAGAGCTGAGGGACAGCGCCCAGGCCCAGAGTTCAGGCCCCACGACCGGACCCAAAATAAATAAATAAATAAAATAAAATAAATAAAAATTAAAGAACTAAATGGATATTTCACAGTAGGAGTAAGGAAAAAATGATCAAACGTTTGGAAAGATAAGCTTCAATAGCAATGGACCTAGAACAAATCATGTTGTATTTGGTAAGCCACATTCAGAGAGAAATGGTGCATGTTTTTTCTCATATGCAGAAGCTGTGGCTCAAAGTGATAGAGCACTAGCCTTGAACAAAAAGATCTCCAGGGACAGCGCCTAAGCCAAGCTCTAGTTCAAGTCCCAGTACCAGCATATATACAAATAAAATGAGGACCAGCACGCATGCGCATGCGCACACCCACCCACCACACACACACACACACACACACACACACACACACACACACACACACACAACCAGATAATATCCTTTTTTTTTTTTTTTGTCGGTCATGGGGCCTGAACTCTGGGTCTGGGCACTGTCCCTCAGCTTTTCAGTTCAAGTCTACCACTTGAGCCATCGCACCACTTCCAGCTTTTTCTGCTTATGTGGTGCTGAGGAATCGAACCCAAGGCCTCATGCATGCAAGGCAAGCACTCTACCACTGAGCTACCTTCCCAGCCCTGGTAACATCCTTTTATTTACTTCGTCTGACTGTTAAAGAGATAAAATGATCAATAAAAATTTGCCTTTTTTGTGCTGGTCCTGGGGCTTGAACTCAGGGACTGAGTACTGTTCCTGAGCTTGTTTTGCTCTAGGCTATCACTCTAACTCTTGAGCCACAGCTCTACTTCTGGCAGCTTTTGTTGTTAATTGGAGATAAGAGTCTCACAGACTTCCTTGCCCTGGCTGGCTTTGAATTGAGATCCTCAGATCTCACCCTCTTGAGTAGCTATGATCATAGATGTGAGCCAAGGGCACCCAGCCTGGCAGGTTCCATCTTTCTTCTCTATCCACAGTCGACTAGCTGTGAGTGGCTAGTAAGTAAAGGGCATAATTTTATTGTCTGGCTTGCCAAAGTCAAAACCGGGTTTTTAGACCACAAGCCCAAGCTCTAGGAGTCCCAAGTTAGGTCACCCCCATATGACAAAGAGACATGGTGAAGGGCAGAGAAAGGAGATTTATTACATGGCAGACATGAGAAGACAGTACTTTAGTACATTCTCAGCTATCTTCCCCCAGCCTAATGGTTTATAAAGTTCAAAAATAACAATATGGTCTGGGAAGGTAGCTCAGTAGTACAGTCCTTGCTTTGCAAGCATGGGTTCGATTCCTCAGCACCACATAAACAGAAAAAGCCAGAAGTGGCCCTGTGGCTCAAATGGTAGAGCGCTACCCTTGAGCTGAAGAGCTGAGGGACAGCTCCCAGGCCCAGAGTTCAGGATCCACAACCGACAAAAAAATAAGAAGAATAAGGATAGCTGGGTGCTGGTGGCTCACACCTGTAATCCTAGCTACTCAGGAGGCTGAGATCTGAGGATCACAGTTAAAAAGAAGCCTGGGCAAGAAAGTCCATGAGACTCTTATCTCCACTTAACCACCAGAAAATAGGAAGTGGCACTCTGGCTCAAAGTGGTAGAGCACTAGCATTGAGCTGAAGAGCTGAGGGACAGTGCCCAGGCCTAGAGTTCAAGCCCCACAACCAACAAAGAAAAGAAAAAAGAAAATTTCACCAGGCACTGGTGACTCACACCTGTGATCCTAGCTACTCAGGAAGCTGAGAACTGAGGATTATGGTTTGAAGCTAGCCAGGGAAAGCCTATGAGACTCTTATTCCAATTAAGCACCAAAAAATGGTTGGAAGTGGTGCTATGGATTAAGTGGTAGAGCTCTAGCCTTGAGGGAAAAAAGCTCAGGGACAGTGCTCAGGCCCTGATTTCAACTCCACTATCAGCAAAACCAAAAAGATGTTATTTGGAGAGTTATACACATACATACATATGTACACATACACAGTATGTGTATAATCAGTGCTATTTTTGAAAGAAGTGAATGAAGGAAAAGTAGGGATTAAAAGATGCTTCTGACTGAGTTGGTGAATAGTAATGCCAAATTTACTTACTAATAGGAATTGACTGGAGCATAACAACAAAAATGGCCATGTAACCTGGCACTAGTGGCTCTCACCTATAATCCTAGACACTAGGAGGCTGATCTGAGAATCACAGTTTGAAGTCAGCACCTACTCTGAGCAGGAAAGTCTGTGAGACTCTTGTTTCCAATTAACCACTAAAAAGCCAGATGTGGAGCTGTGGCTCAAGTGATAGAGCAAAAAAAAAAAAAACTCATTGACAGTGACCAGGCCCTAAGTTCAAGTCTCAGACCCAGCACAAAAGAATGGCCATATTGGGGCGGGGGGGGGGGGGGGGGGGGGGGGAGGGGGAGGGAGGCTGAGTAGGGATGTGAAGGGTAAACAATGG